AAAAAAAAAAAAAAATTGTTGTCTATGGGAGGGGAACTGAATGGTTAAGGGACAGGAATGAGACAGTGACTTTTCACTATACAGTCCGCCCTCCACATCCATGGGTTCCATATCCATGGATTCAACCAACCACAGATAGAAATTATTAAGAAAAGAAAAAAACTGCATATGTGCTGAACACGTACAGACTTTTTTCTTATCATTATTCCCCGAACAATAGAGTTTCACAACTATTTATGCAGGATTTATGTTGTATTTAGCATTATAAGTAATCTAGAGGTGATTTAAAGCAGGGGTCCCCAACCCCTGGGCCACAGACCAGCACTGTTAAGAATTGGGCCCGTTAGGAACGGGGCTGCACAGCAGGAGGTGAGCAGCAGGTGAGTGAGAGAAGCCTCATTGGTATTTTCAGCCGCACCCCATCCCCATCTCTAGCATGACCACTTGAGCTCCACCTCCTGTCAGATCAGCTGCAGCATTCGATTCTCATAGGAGCGTGAACCCTATTGTGGACTGCGCAAGCGAGGAATCTAGGATGCCCGTTCCTTATGAGAATCTAATGCCTGATGATCTGTCACTGTCTCCCATCACCCCCAGATGGGACCATCTAGTTGCAGGAAAACAAGCTCAGGGCTCCCACTGATTCTACATGATGGTGAGTTTGTATAATTATTTCATTATATATTACAATGTAATAGTAATAGAAATAAAGTACACAATAAATGCAATGTGCTAAATCCTCCCAAAACTATCCCCAATCCCCCTCTCTAGCCCCCGGGTCTGTGGAAAAATTATATTTCACGAAACCAGTCCCTGGTGCCAAAAAGGTTGGGGACCACTGATTTAGAGTATAAAGGAGGATGTGTATAGGTTATATGCCAATACTACGCCATTTTATATCAAGGCCTTGAGTATCCAAGGATTTTAGTATCCATGGGAGGTCCTGGAACTAATCTCCCACAGATACCAAAGGACGAGTATACATGTTTTCTTACTTCTGAATTTTGAACCAGATAGATACACTGCAATTCAACAAATTAAAATAACTGAACCTACAATCAAGGAGAAAAATATTTCTCCATAATAACTAATGGACCATCTTATGCATTCTATAAAAATATCAATTAAGAAATCACAGCCGGGCGCAGTGGCTCACACCTGTAATCCCAGCACTTTGGAAGGCCAAGGCGGGCGGATC